TTTCTTGGTGATGGTGTCAAGAGGTTTAATGCCAATGCCGTCGTAGTCATCAACAATGATCTAAAGATGTTAGAGAATTTTGCTGATGAGAGGTTTCACAGCACTGGCCTAAGTGAGATATATAAGAAAGGTAGTTTTCAAGGTTGCTTGATAGAAGCCCGACAGTTGATAAACCTTTTGTCCAGCAGCCAGCCGGAGAATTTCATGAATCCTGTAATTCGGGAGAAAACTACAATGCTTTGGATTATAAGAAAGTGGCTAGTATTTGTGAAAAATTTAAGGATTCAGCAGACGGGATCTTTGGGAGCCTTTCAAGCAGAAATACAAAAACAAATTCACGGAAGAAATCATTGGATGTGCTGAAAAAAGATTGAAAGACTTCAACTGAGAAGGATTCAAACGTTTGCATGCATTTATGTCTATTTTGATCTTCATATTTCGTTTCCCCCCTTTTCTAAATGATATGGTATGTAGCTCATTTGCTCTTAAATTATTATAGTAAAGTTTCTATATTCCTCTCTTTATTCTCTTGCAGTTTTTTTTCTTCTGGTTAATGGAATAGTTTAGGAAATCGCATGAAACATTGTCATAGCTCAAGGTTACTTCAAACTTTATTTATAATCTCTTTATATAATTTTGAAGTTTGACATTTGACAAACACTACCAGACATTCATTTTTCTTTGTTTTATTTTACTACAGAAGTTTGCTTGATGATTTTAGTGTTATTGAAGAATTTAGGTCTATATAATCAATGGTTGACAATTTTGTACAAAAAAAAAGCTATTTCATGCCAAAACCTTTTGAGCAGGTGCGATAACCCCCAGATTTTTTTGGTATTAAGAACAACTTACTGCACTGTTTTCCAGAGGTTTTGGTAACTGTCAACCATTGATTATAATGACTCTTCTATCCCTCTCTTTTGCCACCTGTTTTGGGTTGTTCTCTCCACCGACCATTGCATTATCTGAGTTTAATCTTTAAAGAGCTGGTTTGGAGCTGCAGTTTGATCACAATTGCTGAATATAACCACAAGTGCAGTGGCAAAAACAAGGTAAAATGCTGTCAAATGATGCTTTTGTGATTGCAGTGCAATTGCATTTAATCACATATATTTTATCGCAATGCCAAAATAGGCCAAAGTCTTCACCAAAACATTACATTACTTCACTAGTAAGTGCTCTGAGTTTCATTCCTCTCCCCTGAGAGTTTCTCTCTCATCTAGTTCTCTCTTTTTGGTTTGGTTTC